ACTGAGAGGGAGGGAAATATAATCTTGAATGGCAGATTAACCAGAAGTTTGCATTTTTTGAACTTAGGTACTGCATAAAAGTGAAAATTGGAATGACCACAGCAGTGATAGTTAAATAGTACACAAAACCCTCAAATAAAAAAAGGATTTATGCATAAAGTATGAGCAGCACAAAAGAACATTCTAGTCAACTTAAGATTTAGTATGAACGGCAGAAGAAAAGTACTTCAAAAGCCAGTAAGGTAGGAGCTTGAGTTACAGCCCTAGTTGTCTGTAAAAGCTTTTACTCGTTCCAGCAGCTGAGGATGGCTAAAACTTTCAAAAACACAAAGTTACTCAGAAATTGAATTAGAGCAAAGATCTTCTTAAAAAGGCAACTCTGGTTCCCTCTCACGACTTGCCCAGGGCTCACTGTTAGCACACCATGGAGCAGGCTGGTTTTTTGATCAAACCACACAGCATTTTTCCCTGAAGTTACCTCACCAAAGCAGCAGAGGCCTCTAACCTTCCGATGAGACACGAGGCCAAAGCCCAGTAACTGCCCCCCAAGAGCAACGCTCACCCCTGCATGAAGGGTTGTAACACTGTTCCAGTCACATCAGACATACCCAAGCTTCTAAAGGGCAGGATTCTACAAAATTAATTTTCCATACCAGTCACTTGCTATGCAAAGAGCCTCCATAAATACCAACTCAACTTATCAAGCTTAGATTTCATGCTGGGTCTATTTATGAAGTACTACATGATCTCTCTGAAGTTTACCAGCTTTGCCCATGAAAACATTTCATTCCGGAACAAGTAACTGAAGAAAACATAAAATCAGCTTTTCCTTCATTATGTTAATTTAGTTATATGCTAACACATCTGTTAGCTTAGCTTACAAACTTGCTCTACCATGAGTTCATAAGCAAATTTAACTAATTTGAAAGAAACTGACGTCCTGTTGAGCAAAACAGTGCTTTGCTTCTTGAGCCAGAGAGAAACAAGATAAATGGTATGAACTGCTAATCTGAGAAATTATTGTAAACAGAGAGAGGCTGATGGGTATTTCTGAGCCTCCTAACATCTGTTTTAAACTACTTTAATGCAGAACTAATAAGAGTAAGCTATTTAGCTTTGCCCAGTAAAAGAATGCATTGGGCAGCTATGGTAAAGCAGCTATAAAAGGCATTAGATTTGCACCCTCAATATGCCTGAAACTGTTTGCTTATCCATAGCCTGTTCCATGGATTCAAGGTGAAGTCTTTGATTTGTTTGCACTAACAGAAACAAAAAGATTTGCATCTTTGAGAATTCAGAGAGAAACAGGTATTTACACAGTTCCCAGCATGCCTCTCTGTGCTGGTGAGCACACATCCAGGGTACTGGTTACCTACTTAATCTCACTTATAGCTCAGCCACAATTCTCCTCCTCAGCTTTCTCCTTTTTCCAATGTGCCCTCATACTCACAGAGAAGTGCTGTAACAATTCATCTTTCTCCTCCTCGACAAAGCCTCCAACTGTCAGTGCTTTGGGACGATGATCCACGACCATGTGATTCAACATGCCCCTTCCTCTCCCACCACGACCCCGTCCTCGTCCTCTTCCTTGGGCTGGCACCGCCTTGCCTCGACCAACCGGCAAAATGCCCAGGCGGGCGGCCTGGGTGGGAAGGGCAGAGATGGACCAAGACATCCTCACTTCTAAAGGGTTTCACATATTTATATTTCACAAATACACTAAAAGCATTGATCCAAACTTACCTCCACTTGTAACTGATTCAGCTTTTTCCGTAGCTCAGTTGTGTCCTCTCCAGAAGAGAGTCTCTTATGAAAGTCCAGCTCTGCATCTAGAAGTTCCTTTTGTGCCTTAGAGAAAAAGGCAGAGAGAGAAAGGGGAAGGGAAGAGCAGAACTGCAATGTGTGCTTTTAATGTTTTGTTCCACTTCTTCAGCAATGCATTGATGTAAATGGTCAACACAGACCAGTACACAACATCCATCCTTCCTGTAAATTCAGGGTGTTTTCATTGCCTCCGTGCCCCCTGCCCAGCCCATTTTTCAAAGGACCCAGATTTCTCTGCTTCAGAACTGGAACAAGCTCAAATGAGCCACATGCAGAACTAGGTCATCTGAGTTCCTTCAAACCACAGCTTGCTTGTCCATGGTTATCACTCTTAAATTCAAAACGCTTGGAAGTGTTTTGATCTAATTTTTTAGGATATAATATTAGGAACAGTTACAAAACACATGGAGGAAAGTGTCTTGCACTATAAATACCTCTGTCTTGGACTTCAATTTTGATGGTGTCGAAGTTGTAGATGATGTTTTTAATTCATCCTTTAACTGAGATATTTTTCCTGCTAGTTCTTTTAAAGTCTTCATTATTTCTGCTCTCTCTTCTGGTTTCATGGACTTATTTTTCTCCAGCTTGGATATCAACATCTACATATTAAAAAAAGAGCAGGGAAATAAAATTTCAAGAAAACCAAACACCAAACAGACATATCTACAAAATCAGAATGCATTTACCAGAAGACATTCCAGACTTACCTTCTGGCATTCTATTTGTTTTTCTAACATCTCCTGCTTCTTTTTCCTCATGTCTTGTTGGAGTTTCATTGCCTCCTGTATGAGAAAGTAATTCTTTCAATCAGTAAAAGCAGTCTAAAATTAGATGTATCATATTTACTTCTTGAAGCTACAGAAATGAAGGCCATGATGAAAACTACTAGTCTGCAAAACACACAACTACGAAGTGTATATGAGCTGGAAAAACACAAGTTGTTCACTTCCTCACTCTCCACTCTCTTCAGCAGCAGCTCCATGATTTTTCAGGACTGTTCCCAACTCAGGAGATGCTGTGAGAGTTGCTGGGGGTGGGGGGAGGCAAGAGGCTTTTGCACATATCTGAACATATTTGTATATAATTGTATGTATTTTCTCTTATCACTAGTATTTAATTAAAGCTGTGTAGTTTAGTTTTCAATCCAGCCAAGTCTCTCTCTTTTTCTCTCTCCTTCCCTACCTGGGTGGCAGGGGGAGGGGATTGAGAGCATGGTTGTTGAACCTGAGTCAAATGGTGACATTTATGAAGGACTTCAATTGCTACACTGTCCGTCAGCCAATCAATAGTAAAGTACCTGTTTTTTTTTAAGGGCTTCTTGCACATCATGAGGTTTAGACCCTGCACCAGGCTTCATAGATGTCTTTAAGTTTGAAGAGCTGTAAACCATTTTTGAGTGGCTTGTAGAAGTAGGAAATGTCTGAAATAGCAAAAACACACACACAAATATATAATAGCTTAAAATGAATGTGATAGACCATGAATTAATTTTAAGGAATGCACCCTGTAAAACAGGAACACAAACTTCCAGAATTGTGCAATGAGACAAAAAGCCCAAGGCAATTATACATGTAACTGCATCGGTCTAGCAGCCAGCTTGCTTGGCAGCAATCAGCTTAAATGCATGTTAAAAGGATTTCTAAAAAAGAGACTTACTTTCCTTCTTCATCCAAAACTCCCTCTGTATCCTGGTATTCACTAGGAATACCACTGAAGCTGCACTTCTGCATCTGCATGATATTCAGCTTCACAGTCACAGTCTAACCTCACACTTTCTGATCATGTAAGTCAGCAAAAGTCACTAGCAAACTTTCTTTTGTTAAAGGACTTTTCTGTGGCCAAGAACAGTTGCTTCACTAGGACATCAGTGTGAATTAAACTACATCAGCTTGAACTCTCTGCAGAAGCATTCTACCAGCTCCTAGCACTACTGGTAAAGCACAGCATAAGCTCAAAAATCCCTGAGAAAGCACATAGTTTTGCCAACAAAAAGCTGACATCACATACAGGCTGTCAAGTTTGTTTACTATGAAGCACTGCCAAAAATATTTAATACTACTTAAAACAGTGATACTTTGTTTCTGAAGTCATTGTCCCTGTTTTATACAAACAGGTAATGAAACCAGGAGGAAGTGACTGACCATGGCTGCCTGGAACATGAGTGAAAAGAAACAGAATCAACTGCCAACAATTCACCAGCTCTATTTGCAAGCTCCTTTTCAGCTAAAAGGCTAAAGCTTTAACTGAAGTATGAAGATGTTCAGCTTCACAAACACACCTGAGAGTCCTCCACCACTGCCCCTGGCTGGCTCAAGTCAGGCTGGCTTCCCCCTGCTGCTCCAAGGCGACGTTTGACTGGGACTTTGTTAAGGACATACGCGCCAGATGCCAGAGGTTTATTCATCACCTGTGTATCAGCAGACAGTAAAAAATGAAAGATTAAATACTCTGTGGTTCTGAAGTAGCTGTCACTAAGGAAGGCTGGTAACCTCCACCACTCCTTCATCACAGCACACTACCTTTGTCAGGCTGCTGTGCACTGTTACAGCTGGAGCTGTGGTCAGGCCTTGCTGCTGAAGATGAAGCTGGTGATGAAGAGGCTGAGGAGGGGTCTGCTGCTGCTGCTGCTGCAGCAGTGGGGGCTGCTGATCACTCTCTCTGTGCCACAGCACCCGGATAAACCGGTTGTTCAGAACAGCCTCTGTGCTGGAAATGGCCTTCCTGGCCTCGTCGTTAGTCAAGTACTGGATTAGAGCAGCCTCAGGATCATTCTGGAAAGCAACCTGAATCAAAATTCATTAGGATGCATCAGTTCATTAGGAAGAAAACATCTCATCCAGTAGCAAACCAAGCTACAAATAATCTAAAATACAGAGTGGGATATCCAGTGATATTGACAGCTCAAATACAGGTAAAACATTCTATGTAATTACAGCCAATTACCTGTTGGCAAGTATTGCACACACTTGCAGCAAAGCCTATTTGCAGAACAATAAAATAAAAGATTCCTCCACCAAACAGCATGGTATACTAAGAGCCCTGTGAACTGGGGTATGACTGGAGAGACCCTGGTGCTGACCCCAGAGCTCTTTAACCTCCTGAAAGGCTGTTGCTGTCCCAGGAGGTACAACACAAAGCTTCACACATTCCCAATGCAGCATTATCTAACTGTCTTGAATAAGACTATTTTTCTCTAAAAATTCAATACAGGAATAAAAATGTATCTTGGACTTTCTAGTAGAACAACTGAGCGTGTTTTACATACACTATTTCATCAGCAAGGTGCAGAAAGCACCACAGCATCTTTTTGGCCAAGACACAGAATTAGCAAGTGCAGAGCCTTCCCATGTATCTGTCTTTTTAGATCTCCAAGGACCTAAGGAGAAACTGTTTTGTCTAGAAAAATAAATGGAAACTAATCACTATTTTAATCATCTAATTACCCATGTTTTTGCTCGTATAGTGCTTTTCCCCTTGCTACAGTGCAAGGAACAGCACTGACCTGCAGCCAGCTCCAAGATGCCAAGTGGTAATAAATTGATGCACATAGAGACTCTCCTGAAGCATCATATAAACTTTGGCTATGAAATACTGTAAGACTATCATGCAAGACAGAAATCTTTAGAAGATGTCTTTCAAAAATTATACACAAGTTGCTCAAAAACTTGAGTTGGTTTAGATACTGTTAAATCTGCAAGCCTTCCAAATTAAGCAAGGCCTCATGAAGGCAGAAGCCAACACAATTCTACAGGATTAGGATAATAATACAGAGTAGACCAAGAAAAGGATTAATTGAATTTGATCATCTACTCTCCCAGTTAGCCTCCTAAGGCTTCCTGAGGAATGCAGATCAGCTGCAGTATTCAAGAAGGCTTCAGGGAAAATAAAATACATACAGGCATAAAACTGAACTTTGTTTTTTACCTGAATATTTACAATAGTCCCAAATTTGCTGAAATGTTCATTGAGCTGTGTAATATTGTTCAATTCTGGTGGGATTTTTCTGACTTCTAATTTTGTATTCGTATACTGATTCTTCTTCAAGAACCCTGGCTTATTCTGGTTGTTATTTGCTTGCCTAGAGAAAATAAAAGAAGACAGTAATTTAGTTGTACATATACTTAAGTAAGGCAGCAAATGTTAACACACATTTAACTTCTATTTTTCTTATAAAAAAATCTACCCTCTAGACATTAAGAAAGAAGAGCTGCTCCCACCACTAAACATTTAGACTCCATATTAGGTGGACACAGATTTTCTGACCCAGCCAGCTCCAATTATAGGGATTAGTGAACAGCAATATTCACAGCATTGATAGCAACAAAGTGCATTCCAATCAGTTGTTCATTCTTACTTTCCCAGCCACGGTTTCTTCAGTGGTGGACATTCCATGCTACTTGGAGATCTCTTCCTGCTGTCTGGTTCAAGGACAACTCTAGTTACATTGCTGCTATTATTTGTAATGGGAATGGGAGGTTCAGTCTGGATGATAATATTGGCAGCTGGAGGAAAGGAAAGGGGCCTCTGTTATTCACCACACATCAGAGACAGCAGGAAAACTTCCACTTGAACAGCAAAACGGGACTAAGTTGAAAACCACAAAAATAAGTAAGACTTTATCAAGTTGGTCAGTTTTGCAGCTGAAAGTTACTTCAGAGATCACTTGCTAGTCTAACTAAACAACTTCAGAAAACATTTAGTCCTGCCAGCAGGGATGAGATTTTTGCCTTTAAGATTAGTATTATCTTGAAGAAACAAACCTAAACTCCATCTTTTAGGTACTGAAAATTCAGATTCTGTAGAAGAGGGGGAAAAAAAAAAAAAAAAAAAGGGAAAAATGAAAAAAAGGAGGAAAGGAAACAAGGCTGGGGTGCCAGACTTCAGGTTAGACTTCAGCAACAAGGCATGGGCTGGATAAACAACAAACTTTCCCCTGTATTAACCCCTGACAGTGAAAGGCAACCAAGAAACCGTTCCTCCCACTGCTATCCTGTTGCCTTCCCTCCATACAGTTTTCAGCAACCAACTGCTAATTAAGCACAACTATGGCATGAAATTATACTCTTGGATTAAAGTTTGAAGAAACCTCTACAAACACAAAGCAAAAACACCAGATCACAGTTTGCCAAGTGTTTATTTACAACTTTTTCAAGATCAGGCTGTTGCTGTGGGTCTCCTGTGTGTGCCAAATATTCAACTCCTAAAAAGAAGTCTGAGTTACAAGTCAACTTTCTACAGCTTTTATATATTCCAGAGCTCTGCTGAGTGGTGAGAACTGGTGAGAATAAAGACTGGGCATTTTTGGCACAGTTTTAATCTTACTTCAGAGGATGATTTTAGAGCAAACCTTTCATACACTTGACAAAGAGAGAAAATCAAGTGGCCTGAAGCACCACTGCTGAACAGTCACCCATGCCTTACAAATGGAATGGGTTCTTAGAGAATCTGAGGGCCAGAAATACAGCCCCAACCCTGCCTTTGTGATGTTGATTAAGATGAAAACAGCAACAGTGACTTCTGCAATAATATTTAACTGTATTATTCATAGGATGAGTCACTGGAAGGAAGTATTGAAAAAAATCTCTCTTACCTACTGAGTAAGAAACACTGATGTGTAACAGTAAACACTGACACTTCACATGTTCTCTTTTAGGGATTGGGGCAGGAAAGCAGGACGGAAAGAAAATTATGCTAACAGAACAAACATTTTTTTTAAGAGCCTTGGATTGTTCTCTCCCCTATAAGATATTTCATACATGTGACCTCTAAGAGACTACACCCACATCCACCCAGTTAAGGACACGGAATTACTTAAACACCGACTGGTTTCCACAGGCTAGGAGAAGGGGAATGCTACCTGCAGTGCTCACTTAGAGAGCACCTGTCTGCCAGACCACCAAGCACAAACACATCCCACCACTGCTACCCTCCTTGCTGCCACCATGACAGCTGAGGCAAGTAGTGTAGATCATCACCTCTGTGCCCCAGATCCTAAACACACCCTTGGCAAACCAAAAGCAGTCTTCAGACCGTACTGCTTAAAACCATCTTTCTGCACCACTTTTCTTTCAAGAAGCACCCAGCACCCAAAAAATGCCTTCACAAGCTAAAGAGGAATAAAAACCCAACCAACCAACCCCCTGTAACACCACCAAGTGAGTGGTTAGTTTTAATCCAAAAGGCTGCTTTGACTTCAGTGTGGTCATATTAGTATTTTATAAAGGGTAGAGATGTCTGAAAACTGCTCTGAAACACTGGATCAGTGCGAAAAACTATCACTTTCAGCCTGAAAAGGGGGAAAATCAGTATGACGGTCTTGGACAAAAATAGCAACAGCAATGACTGGAAACCCTTCCTACCTCTTGGATTTGTATCCATCTCCCCAGATGTTAGGCCAATTAGATTTGGACGCTGCGTTTGTGCTCTCGTAAAGAACTGTCGGTACTGAGATCTACCAGCACTGGTAATACTAGGAGCTTCAGGGTTATAGCCATCTGGCTCATATGTATCTATAAAAAAAGGAGAGAAATGAAAGGAGTTTTCAAATGAGTTTAAGACTCAGGGTTAATTTTCCTTTAAGGAAATGCATGGATGTCCAAGAACCGAAGCTGTTTGGTATGAAGAGAAGAGATGGTACTGCCAGCGTGTGTAGCCATGCAAAACCCTCAGCTGACCCTTACACCCAGCTCTGCTTGGGCATGTTCTCCTCGGGGCATTGGTATGATTGTTACTGTTGGTACAAGTGCATCAGTCACACTGAGCGTTGAAAAGGAACGAGGTGTTTGTGTGACAACCTTCACAACCTCTGACAGTGTCTCAAGGGGAGCAACAGCAGATTCAGTTCAGGCATTTATTCTGTGGGGCATAAGATACAAAGAGATTTTCAGTCTTTGCTGCCCAGCAGACTAGTTTACTTCAGAAAAGGATTTTTTGAGAAAAATGTACTTAGATGATTCCAATCAAAGAAAGCTGAGAAATCAGGTAATTTGACCAATACTTACCTATTAAATTATCTTAATTTTTGTAAGACTGAGATGAGCTACCTAGCTCCAGTAAGGCACTCATGATTATTTTACTTAAGAGGGATAACCATTGGAACACAAGATGACAGAACTGACTCAAACTGCTCCTCCAGCCCAAGGTCCAAATCAAGGATGATTGATTTTTCCAAAACACAAAAGCTACACAAGAACTAGAATGAAAAAAAGTCTATGAAAAGCCTCCACAGAAACACAGTACATCCTGGAACAGAAATGAATGCCTACACACGGGGACTTGACAGACTTGAGTCACTCTAGATTTCAGCTCCTTATTCCACAGCAACCATGAAGACTCTACAATTTAAAACAGATGCCCCAGAATTTTGATGCTGATGTTTCACAGTTTAGTTTCAGACTCTGCCAAGAACTTCCATTAACTTTGCACAAGCTGAACCACCAGCTCCTCCTCCAGAACTTGCATACAACTGATTGCAAGAGGGCAACCAGCAGTTGTTCCCACACCAGTCCAAGGACAGGACATGACAATCTCCACATGCTCTGGAGAACAGAATTGTGTGGTGCAACTGAAGCCAGTGATGCCCTGTGAGCTAAGACAGACAGAACCACCTGTTAGAAGTAGTGAAGCTGAAAGAATCAGATGGTAACATCTAAATGTCTGACAGCATCTGGAGATAATTGATCATATTATCTCACAAGATATTGAGTGACTGAAGTTCTGAAAAGCATGGGAGTCACAAAGGAAATTATATGGATCATGAACTGGCACCCTCCTTTGAATGAGATTCAGAAAATATTTTTAAAAACCCAGGTGGGAATATTGTAAAATATCAAGATTTAATGATCTTGTTTTGTTCACGTAAGACATGGAAATGTCATTATACTCCTTTCTTCATCAAAGAAATACAAGCTTTGTTGGATCTAAATTGCACAATCTAGGACTCTCCAGGTATTTTTGATACTTTCCCTCATGAAAACCCACTTTGGAAAAATCTGAGCTGTGTTGAGATGGGCATGTCCATTGAAAGCCATCCACTTTTTTAAGTTAGAAAGCTAGAACTTAGCCAAATCTGGGGGAAAAAAAAAAAAAGATCGAAAGAAAGTACTGAAGTGTATCTAGACTGTAAAGACTATTGTGATACACAGCTGAAAAAAAAATAATCTGTCTCATCTGCAGTAACCAAAACTGGACTGGGATACAAAGCAAGTTCAACAGTAATTACAGGTTTGCAGATCCACTCTTTGCTTACTAAACACCTTTAAGATGAGGGGATCCCTTTCTTATGCAACAATCCTATTGCTTTGAGCATACAAAACTCAAAGGAAGCTCCCCACAAATGACCCCTCCCCAGAGGGTGACAGGACACCCCTGCTGCTTCTCACAGGAACAACGGACCATATACTGACCACCACGAAAGCCATCAGACTTCTTTTTAAGACGTCTATATACTGGATGAAGACATAGGGGTAGTAATTTCTAATCATACATCAGAGGAATTTTAAAACATGTATCCCAACAGATTTTAAAAAAGGTAAGTGCTTACGTTCCGTAACTGTGTAGAGCAGGTTCTGGGGTAGAGGAGGAGGCAGCCTTGCTCCCACGGGTGCAAGAGTGGGCACTGCACTTGTCCCAGGCTGGTCACGGTTATTTACCAAACTTGACTGTGTTAAAGGTGGTCCTAGAATGACATCACAGAAGAGAACACTACGAGCTGACACTCCACAGACAAAGTGTGCAAACAGTTCAGTGCAATTCGTGTATTTCTTGCTTTGAGTAAGGTGAAAACTGCAAATATTTACAATCCCTTTACAATAGAAGTAAACTGAGAAGCCCTGCTCAGGTCAGTTGCTCTGATTTCATCAGCTTTTCTCCTTCCCAGAAAGGACAAAGCTTTAAAAAAAAAAAAAAAAAGAAAAGAAAAACAACAACAACAAAAAAAGAGAGAAGTGTCTTTTCCTCCCTAGAGGTTTATTATTGCTAGAGCTGGCATTAGCTAAACCAGCTCCTCCCTCAGCTCTGCCATGGATAATCAAGGCTTGCTCAGAGCAAGAGATTGTATCAGCAACATTTGGATTACAGTTCTCAAACAAGAACTACAGGGCAAAAAGGCAGTCACAGATGAGGAGTCTGTCTAGCTATTTTTGCTTTGTTTGCACCATACAGGATACCTACATTCCTACTGACCATATGGCCAAAACAGGACAGTGAGTTACACTACACAAATTATCAGGACACAAATACATCAGAGAGCACTGCGAGTTCCCTCCACACCAGGCCAATTCCTCCCACTAAAATGCTCAAGCAGAGTTTAGGGTGAATCCTATATAAAATTGCTTCTCATCCCATAGCTGTTGCTATTTTGATCAACTATCACAACGTTCCAGTGTCACTGGAATAGAGAGTGCTGACACAGAGTAATCACCTATCTAATATTCTGTATCTTCATAGAATTTACATTGTAAGATACAGTAGAATAACAAAAAAAGCTACACAGTCTCAGAGATTGAGCCTTGAGCCCAAATAGATCTTAGATGTATCCATTATCTGCTACTAAAAAGCAGTACATAATGAAGTCCAAACATAAATTTATTAGAACTTTTATGAGATTAAATCTCAACATTATTGCATTAGGAAAAAAAACATCTAGTAATCCAATTTTTACTGGTCAATCCAAACAGCACCAGGGTTAGAACATAATGTGAAAGACACCCCCTCTGCCTACCTGCCCAACAGATCTATTTCATTTTGGAGTGCTGGGAACGTCATATTTGACAGGCTGATTTTCTGGAATTATTTTTGGCAGTATTTTGAACAGCACAGGGCTATCAAGGAAACTTGAGCTCATCACTTTGAATACACACAGATCTTCCAGAAAGAGCCATCATTTTAGCTTGGCGACTTAAAGGAACACAGAACCATATTCTGACTTACTTGGTACAGGAAGCACAACAGGAGGTGGTGCCTGGGGATGAGCTTGTGGAACTGGCAACCTCATGTTACGAGCTGGCCCTGGCAAGGGGGGCAGAAGCATTCCAGGAGGAGGAGGAAGTCCCGGAGGTGGTGGAGGAAAAGGAATCATACTTGGCAAGGAAACTTCATCTACTACTAAAGGATCATTTCCATGATCAAACTGGCAAAGATCACCAAGCACACAAAATCCTCGCTCTGCAAAACAGAACATTTAATAATCTTTTTAGGAAAACATAAAAGGTTAGTGGTAAATGATTTGTAGCATCTGTTTTCTTTTGTTGGAATTTCTTACTAATGAAAATATGCAATCACTGATCCAACATTGCATTATCAGATGAGGCTTAAAAATAACTAAAATTAGAATCATCTTCCATAAAAGCATACAAACATACATGTATTCATCATAAAAGATGTGGGAAAAAAAATAATCATGCAGAAATACTGTTTTATATTAAAAACATGCACTGCAATCTGTATCAGAGCTGCCAGTGGTTGAAATACTTGCCAAGCATCCACAGAATTGTGACCAAACTCCCTATGCTCTTATCCAGCAATGGTCAGATTGTAAGTAAACTGCTTCCAGTAAGACTAGTTATTTCTCCAGTAAAATACAGGTCATAAATGCATCTTTTACATTCAAGGTATATTCTAAATGCTACTGCATTTTTACTTGCTGCCTATGTTTAGTGAATACCTAAAAAAAGTCACAGAATAACTGAAACAAGGTGAAAAACTGAAAACTAAGAAGCAGATAATTTACCATCGTAATCTCGACATCTTCTTTTAGGAGGAGGGTTTCTGCCAAATGAAGGGGGATTGCTGTGATTGTTATAGAAATTTGACCAGCTCTCTGTTGTGTTTTCCAGATGGTGCGCAGGTGCAATCACAGTGACAGCACTGGGAATAGCCTGTGCAGAGGAATACTGCTCTGAGGATTTACTGGGAGACGCGGGCACTGGGTTATAGGAGCCTTCAGCATCATTTCTTTCACTCTTGAATTTGGATCTCTCTCGGTGCTCTGTTTGAAAAAAATAAAAATAAAGCAAAGTCTTCCTGCTTTGTTCTGTATATCAGAGCCTTGGAAAAAGCTACTACACAAAAGCATAAACATTTCCTTAAATATTCAGTATTTTGCATGTTAGACTGTTCTTGAAGGAGCTTAGTCTTAGCAATGGAATAAGAACTAAACATAAGGCAGACAGGGTTTTAACTTCAGAAATCTAAACATTTTCTTTGCAAAATGCAAATTTATTCCTCTATTCCTTATTCCATTCTGGATTACAGCTTTCTCTTTTAAACCAGAAAGAGGGAGGAAAAAGCCTGAAGAAACAAACCTAACTGCACCCCCCTCAATAATGTGGCCTCAACATGTGCTGAAATCCGTTGTAATCTGTGCCTCTTATTTTCCCAACCGACCTGAATTAGCCCTAAAAGAACAATGGATCACATGGGAAGCACCTTCAGTTACAGAAAAACCTTCTCTAAAAAAATACACAGTTACAAAATGAAAAAGGAGGTACACTGTTTTGCAAAAACCCTAGATCTTTGGAAAAAAGAAAAAAAAACAGGCAACAGCTTTGTCAACACCACACACAGCAGAAAAATACCAGCTCCTGATCTCCCCTGGTATACACCTGTGGATAAATTAAGAGGTTAGCAAATAAGAAAACAATCCCCTTAATTGTTCTACTCCAAAGAACAGCATCTTGGTTAATAACTTCAGGAACACAAAGCTCTCAAAATTTGCTCCAGCTTTTCAAGGACTTCTGCAGCCTGCCAGGAGAACCCACACCATGAACGTGAGTTGAGCTCCAGCAGCAGCACCTCGGGTACTCACCAGCACTTCTGGCCTCCCTGTCCTTGCTCCTGCCCCGGCTGCGGCTGCGGCTCCGGCTCAGCCCGCGGCTCTTGCTGCGGCTCTTGCTCCTGCCGCGCCGCCAGCCCGACTTCTCCCGGTACGAGTCGCTCCGCTCGTAGTACCTGTCGTAGTCTCTCCACTTCCCATCGTCTCTCTTCTTCTCTCTGGTTCTAGAAAACACATCGTTTATGAAAAGAGGCACCCAACTAAAAAAATAAGCTTGCGAGAGAACACTGTTCATCCTTCCCATCCGACCTGGGCAGCGAAACGCTTCAGTCAGAACGGCCCTAATTACATTAGAAAAGTACAGGATCTCAAACTGAATCACTAATTAGTAGAAACCAGCAAGGGAAGGACTAAGCAGAATTGGAAAGATGAAGAAGTTAGATGACCAAAACATGGTATGTTTTAAAAGTGATGCTCACATTGTGTCAACAACCTCTCCACCTCTAATGACTGCCAACAATGCTTTTTAATTTATACAACAGAGGAAACAGAATTGATGACATTCCCAGGTATTAACACTTGAAACAGACTGACATTTTTTTGGAAGAGACCAACTTCTAGTCAAGGGCCCTCATGCATGTGATCAGCATACAAATAACATATTGCAAATAGAAAAAAGTTGGGAAGAAGTGACTATTTTAATGAAAAAATCACTACCTACAAGGTTAAAATCCCCAGGGACAGACTGCCACCAAACACAGAAGAACTTAATATTTTGGTTCAGAACTAACCTTTGCTCACTGGTGTCTCCACGGCTCCTCTGTGGACTGGAATACTTCTTTTTCCTGCTATCCCGCTCTTCTTCAACTGGCTCTTGAAAATTCTGTTTAAGAGACAACTACAAACCAAGGGTGAGTATCACTTTTTTAAAAAATGAAGAATACAAGACCAAAATTTAGTTCAAGTTACAGTTAACACCCTGTACAAAACCAATATGTTTTTGCATAGAACTTGCATAGAACATAGACTTGCACAGAACACTCAAGCACTGCAACTAGAGATTGTGGAGCTTTTTGGTTCAAATCTTTCAGGTTCTTCTGCAGAAGAGGAGATGCCCCAAAATAAAACTACTTCAATACTTTGTTTTTAAGCAGGATTCATGAAAGATGAAGTTCTCTATCATGCTAGTTAAAGTAAGCAACTCAATGAGGTATTTTCTGATCTTGTAACCAGAACACAAATAAGGAGAGCTACTTCTCCAAGTAGGTTTGTCATCAGCTTAACCCTGGAAATACATGCTTTAAACAAAAAAGACACCTGTTCCCATGGTTGAACTAGTCACATTTCTTTCTGGCCTAAACCAAAGCAGCTTTAGAGGTCTTGTCAGCTGTACCACTCCTGTAAACCACTTTGAGCCCATTTTGCACTTTAGCTGGTATTTCACACTGCTTAGAAGTGATTGTACATTTGGGTGGCAGAAGTTTCCATGCACTGGTTAAGTCACCTGAAGGTAGCTCTAAACAAACTGTAAGAATTACAACATCTGTTTGAGAAGCAATCAGAAAACTGTTAAAGTGAAAGTCTTGTGTAGCTGCACGTTATGGACTTCACCACCAATGCTACTGCCTCAAACTGTCATGATAATTCTGGGTCTGATCCTCAGATAAGAAAAGGACACCAGAAAGAAAAAACTAAATGGCAACTTAGATGAAAAAAGCAGGTATCTTAGACAAGTGATAGCAGATTATATATAATATGAAAAGAGATTTAAGACAACTACGGGAATATTAGTTTTCTGTTCTCAAAAACTTGATTGTTTTTAGTTTTCTCAATAAAACAGAAAGAATTGTTGGCAAATTAATGCTACTTCACTTTTAAAAGTAATTATCCCTCAATATAGAGGCCACCATGTGTCACTGATTGTAAGCATTATAGAAAGCATTTAAAATAAATGTTACTTCTCACAGAAAATACAAAACTGGAAAAGGAAATGTTTTGAATGTTTTAGCTTCTTTTCCCTCTCTTCAATCATTATCACCTCTCCAAATCATTATCACCAGGGATGTCCCAACAGGACTCCGAATGCCATTAATCCAGGTCAAAGACACACTCTACAGAGGGATTTTAAAACATTCTTGTCTGAATATTCTTCCATTTTCCTTCAGATGCACAGAGAACAGAGATCACTAGTCACAAGAGAGTGGACTTTTCTTACACATTTTGCCTCACAAATGTACAGGATGGCTAATTTGAAAATTAGAAGCAGGTAGACAGAAAAGGTGATGTTACCTCCTCCTTCACTTCTTCTTTTTCCTGACCTGCAGGCTTCGCTTCTACTTTTGTGTGTTCAAGAGAAGGAAGGTAACTCTTTGAGTAGAGACTTTCAAAAAGTTTATCTACAAAACCTGAAGTTTCTGTGGATACAGAACATAAGAACATATTGTTACGTGCTGATTTAAGGCCACCTTTAGATTTTCCAGAGAAGCCTCTGAAAGAAGTCACCTAGATGGACTGCTCACAGCAGCATCCTAGAGCAATGAACATCAATTCCATTCAAGGAGCTGAAATCACATTTGTGGAATTGAGGTTGTTCATTTAAAGAAAAGAAATTAATCAGGTGTATCAGACACTGACTTTTCCTTGAATCTCATTTACAACTTTGAAATCTTCTATGGGGCAGCTATGACCAGAAGTTATGGCCAAGGAACAAGCCCACAGCTGTGCCATTAGCTACCGCTCCCTGCCTCTTTACAGCAACTTCTATGAGTAAATAGTTCATGAAAGACTAACCATCAATTTAACATCAGATTACAAAAAATGCACAATAACTCCCTCAGTGAGTGTTGGGATTTCAGTTGTTTAAAACCCTGAATTTGAACCAGATTGATATGAGAAGCTCATCAAAAGCCTGAAAGATTAACATGGACCAGGTTTCCAGAAGTTATCAAACAAGTATCAGCAGCATGGCTGATAGTTCAAAATGAAATTGCTAGCTTTTATTTCAGAGGATTTCCTCCCACCCGTCATGAACAAGACAAAGCTACACAACTTCATCTTAAGATTTTTTTTGTATTTAATCACAACATTTATTCCTTCACACTGTAAGAAATATTCAATTCACAGTAAACAAGTAGTTCAAGGCAACTGAAGGATGCTTTAATTCAAGGTAACAAGGGTGCCCCATCCCTCCTGCTCTCCCCAGCTAAATGGCAAGCATCCAGCAGGTAAAGTGGCAGAGAGCACAGTACCTTTCTGCAGGAAGACATCCAGCTGGTCAGCACAGAAAGCTTTCAGCTCTTTCTCTGGTTTGTCTTTCTTGACTAATGCCACGACATAGTTGGCTAAGGCCGAGGGGTCTGCGTCACATCTATGGAGAGAAAGAACCATTCTTGGTGCTGCTGAAGCATGCCAAAACCCTGTGCTGGACAGTCACTGCTGCAGAAGAGCCACCAGGCAGCCCTGGCAACATGTCCAATGCCTTTCCGACACTGCCAGCTCGGCTGCGCCGGGATGATGGAGCCAGGGAAGTTCTTCTCCAACCACAGAACGATCTGTGACGTGCCTCCTGACCCTACCACACCTGACAGTGCTCCCACTCTTTTGCTCCTTCCTAAGTCCTGCTTAGGAAAAACTACCTTTCCTCTTTTTTACAGTATTACAGTGGTTGTAAAGTATTAAAACATGATCACCATGAAAAGCAGTTCAGAAAGCTGCATCACAAAAGCACACTTTCAGTATGCACACAGACACATCTTGTACAGCTTGAGTCACTGTGCTTAACATACCTGGGGGTTTCTTTCCTCAAAGATTATTTCCATGCCTACAGACTATACAATATTTCTTTAACACTGAAAAATGTTGAAATGGGAGCAATTATCAATACAGATCCACTGTCTGCACTACCTAAGCCCTGATCCAGCTTCACAAACACCAAAACCAGACAACTTCGTGCAGCAAAACTCTGCCAGTAATCTTTAAACTGGATATTGCTTTAGATTCCATTATTCAGCTACTAGAAAAACATTCCAAGTATGAACTAGAGTAACAGTGTCAAACGATTAAGCAACAGCTCCTCATTTTGCCTCTCAAAAGATGCAGAGGCAAGCTAGCAGATGGCAGGCAGGAACCCAAACCACTGACAATTTAAACAGATAATTATTTTTATGATTAACAGTTAGGGAATATTAACTATGGATATAGAAGGAAATAGTTTGAAGTATATAGATATCAAAGCAGTATCAAATAAAAAACCCATCCAGAAAACACAAACACAATGCAGAAAGCCAAGCAGGTGTCAACTAGCTAGAGAAAATAAGAAACCTCACGAGCAGCCAACCAAGCAGCTCCACTCCAAATTAGTTTCTGGCTGTTTCCAGCACCCGATGAAAGCCACACTAAATGTAGCAATTAACAACAAAGAAACCACAAATATACAGATTTTACAATTCTTACACACACACACTCACAAAAGGAAATAAACTCTAGGTAATGCACTTGGTGCTATTGTCCACCTGCAACTGGCTCTAAGCCTTCAACTTAAAATCAAGGAGATGATCCTGTGCTTTACACCCATTCCCATCTCTCCATGCATCAGTTTCTCCCAGGCATGACACTACACACCACAGGAGCACGTGTGAGACGTGTGCACCTCTCCAGGTTCACCGTTTGGTATTTGCACTCCTGAATTCTTGCTTTCAGGACCCACCAGCAAAGTCGACAATTCCCTACCATGAACCCTCATCTCCACCTGAGGTCCCTGTGGTGCAGCTCAGATCCCAAGGGAACAGCATGACAGAAGGTTGACTGGAACTGGCAGTGAAGGTGTGGGAGCAAGAGCTACACTCTGGTCTAGACAGAGTTCCAGAAGGATTTGAGCAAGCACCAGAGAGACCCATTTTCTTCAAAAAGTAAAAAGGAAAGAAACGAAGAATTTTCACAAAGCTGCTACTTAATGACTGCACCAGGGCAGCTCGAAGGCCTACTCAAAACACGAAAATAGAAAGTACCTGTAGAAGTATCGGTTAGCTACACATTGTAGAGGTGCCTCCTGCAACTTCAGACGGGGCTTAACTTTACTTTGCGGAAACCCCAGGGCCAGGCCCTCCCTGCCCAGACACCTGCCCCGGGCAGACCCCGTCCCAGCGGCCACTGCCCGCGCCCCGGTGCCCCGCGGCGGGCAGGCGGCTCCTCCTCCCC